GCAAGGCAAGGATGGAAAAGAGGATTGAAGGAGACAGATGGAGTGAAAGTGATATCAGCAGGTGGAATTTACTCTAAATTTTGGAGGAAAACGTGAGGCTTGTTTCCAGGGGTTGGCAATCTTCCAGAAAGGGTTTCCAAGCTGTTCTCTCCCTCCCACCTTCCAGTATCTCCTTTTTGCGTTGCAGATATCCTTGGAAAGCGTGGCACCTTCAGGCTCTCAGTTACACCCAATCAGTTATAGCCATCCGTGAGCCAGAATGGGTCATGGCAGAGGGCCCTGGGAGAGGGGGAAAAGGCCAGGAGAGAGGAAAGGGGTGCTTATGGGGGAAGAGCAAAGCCAAATAAAATGTCGCCCAGGGTCAGTTTTATCCATTTAAAATCACCCTGTCTCTTCACCCAGCCTCCTTATCACATGTATCCACTGGTAGATTGAAGGATGGAGGACCATTCTTTTGCTTTCTAGGAAGAAAACACTAATATGTAAGGCCTCTGTAGTCAGCAAGGGACTGCCCAGTTTGTCCAAGCTTCAGGAAACAGATGATGCATATGGTCACCAAGTTAGGAAACTCAATGCCTTATGGGAGGGACTCCTTAAACGTTCAGGATGCTCACAGTCTTTGCCTGAATGTTCTTGGAAATGCCAGTCTGGCTTTAAGGAGAGGAGGAGGGTTTCTGTTGTTAGGCGTATGACCTCCTTGATTTAGCTGCAACAGTGCACTATGCTGGGAAGAACTCGGGGAGGTTATTTCATACCTTTTCCCCAACCCTCTAAACATCTGGAACAGAATTCTGAACTACAGAGTCTGGATTCTCTGAGAAGTCAACTCATTTTGACCACAGGAAACCTCTGAGCTTAGCAGCCTACTCCTTAAAGGTCAAGAAAGATTCATAAATGTCAGGGCTCAACAGAAACTTACATATCTAGTCCTACTATCTTGGAGACGAGAAACTGAGCCCCAAAGGTAAGGGGACTCGTCTCAGGTCACAGGTGAGTACATGGCAAAGCAAGGACCAGCAGTTGTCCCAAGACCAGTGACCTTTTGCCCTCACTACCTGCACTGTAAGTGCTTGACAATTAGCTTCTTGGTTTTTAATGTACTTATTGGACAACAACTTTGGCTTACCAAGGCATTCATTTAGAAGACATCCATCTTGAATAAACATATTGTCAACTACATAACTAAAGAGCCAGTTGCCTATCCATGAAGTTCCTATTTATTTATTTTTATTTATTTAAAATATCCAAGGATTTTTTAAATTATTATTATTGATTTCAGAGGAAAAGGTGGCAAGAGAAAAACATCAATATATGAGAGAAACATCGATCCATTGCCTCCTGTATGGGTCCAGGGAAATGTCTGTGGGGGCTGCCACCACAGTATGAGTGTCTCAGGCATTCCTAGCTGATAGCAGCACTGTCATAGGCTGAGACCAAAACAAAGCATCTCCATAACCTTGATTCTTGAGCTCATGATCACATGTGCAAAACTCAGAGAAAGTCTGGCATTGGGAGCTTTGCACCAACTCTGAGAGAAATGAAGAGAAAGAGTTAGCATTTTAAGTGCTTCATTTTTGCCATTAAGTTAAGAATATTCATTAACTACACTGCACTCTCTGCACACCCCAACCTCGTGGTCAGCAAACTGCGGCTCGTGAGCCACATGCGGCTCTTTGGCCCCTTGAGTGTGGCTCTTCCACAAAATACCATGGCCTGGGTGAATCTGTTTTGAAGAAGTGGCATTAGAAGAAGTTTAAGTTTAAAAAATTTGGCTCTCAAAAGAAATTTCAATCATTGTACTATTGATATTTGGCTTTGTTGACTAATGAGTTTGCCGACCACTGCCCCAACCTATTAAGTAGAGAGCAGCTGAGAAGGAGAGAGGAAGAAAGGAAAGCTATCAACAGGGAAAGGAGAATTCGTGGTGGCAGAGCAATGAACAAAGTTTCTTTTCAAGAGGCCTCTCTATTTGTAATCTCCACTCATGACTGAGTCCTGAGATCAATAATCAGGGCCCACTGAGATTACCATTCTCCTTGGTCTTGAGCTATTTTTATCCTCGATGCTCTAGAAGTTGAGAAGGTGTGAGTTTCATTATTAACTAACCTCCAGAAAATGAGACCATTTGGGTTCCCCGGGCTCCACTGCACCTCACCCGCCTGCCTCTGTAGCAGGGGAAGGAACTCTCTGCTGAATTAATATTCACCTCAGAGCCTAGGATTGCTCTGGTAAAAAAAACAATTATTGAAATTCGTGGCAGGGAGCTGTGACAACAGTGATTTTGGCAAGGCTGTGTCCTTTTCAGGATCATCCAGCTTTCCCTAACTCAACCAGCTGCTTTTCTTGTTAAATACCATAATTTCACAGTCCTTCTAAAAATGATATATTTTTTTGTTCCTTATCGTTATTTTGTTGTTGTTGTTGTTGTTGTTGTTGCTATGGTTTTGAAAGAAATGCTTTTACTGAAAAACAATAACCAGATTTCAAACTCTCTGATCTATACCCCAGAAGACAGAGACTCATGTTACCTAAATATCCAATTTTCTCATCTGCTGGAGAATACTTTGTATTTTACCAGATTGTAGAATTTGAGGACTTTTACCAATAGCACTTTCCTCCGAAGGTATTGCAGGGTTTTTGCTGAGCTATGGCTAATTCTAGAGTGCTCCAAGTGATGACCCATAATTTTTAGGCCCCTCTCATTAGAGAAAGGATAGTCAGAAACATTGCTCATTACTATTCTCAGTGAAAGCAAAACCAGATGATTGAAAAAGTAATCTGAGCTTATGAAAAATGCTTATTGTTCTTTGATTATAGGAGCTACAACTTTACTTGATATCATTTTAGAAGTAAATTTTTTATTTCTATCTAAATACATTTTTTTGGGAGATGAAATTCCCTCATTATCATATTTCCTAAAACTGAGACTATTTGGGCCTCTTTTTAAAGCATTGTCCCTACATTATTTCAGAAGCAATGCTAAAGAAATTCATTTTTAAAAAAATATATTTTATTGATTTTGTACAGAGAGGAAGAGAGAGAGATAGAGAGTTAGAAACATCGATGAGAGAGAGTCATTGATCAGCTGCCTCCTGCACACCCCCCACTGGGGATATGCCCGCAACCAAGGTACATGCCCTTGACCGAAATCGAACCCGGGACCCTTCAGTCCCCAAGCCGACGCTCTATCCATTGAGCCAAACCAGTCCTGGCAAGAAATTCATTTTTATTGGCAATATTAAGCTGTGCTTCACCTTGGCATAAATTTAGAATAATATACGTCAACCTGGCTCTTTTCCTTGCACGTCTCTAGCAGCTGGTACAGGCTGTTCTAGAAGGAGGGAGGAAGAAAGCTCTCCACCATGCAAGAGGGGATGTGGTGAGACCAGAATTTAAAGAATAAGACAACTGTGTTTTAACGTCACTTGAACTTTCCAGACCTCAGTTGCCTATATAATAGGTAAGAATGATCTTCATGCAGAATGAGAGGCAAAACAAGAGATTTTCTCAAACTCATGTAGTCACAATTTCCACTTTTACTGTAATTGTAAGAAAGTACAGATATTGTGAAGACAGATTTGTACAAATAGGCACAGGTGAGTTAATAGGGAACAGTCACATGTGCCTCGTAATGCAGTTATCGCTCATTGCTTGTTAGAGTTAATAACCAACCAAACATTATTTGGAGAATTCGTTACTGTGTTTTCCCGAAAATAAGACATCCTCCGAAAATAAGACCTAGCGCATGGAAAGATAAGACATCCCCTGAAAATAAGACCTAGCAAAACTTTGGGAGAAAAATTAATATAAGACACTGTCTTATTTTGGGGGAAACACGGTATTATTAACAGTGGGAAAAAATAAGCATCCTTTTATTGAAAGAGGCTAGCACTGTCAGCCTGGGATTCTGACTGACTGCCTCAAGGCCAGTTCATCGATATTAGTTGCTAATAGTACTTGGCAGTTGTTTGTTGAAAAAAGTGAAGTAGGAAAGAAGGAAGGAAGGAAGGATGTACCATATGCAAAAAAAAAAAAAAAAATCTTTTTTTTCAAAGAAAAGGATTATACTTTGTTTCCCAGCTACAATTTTATCCACTGCGATACTGTGATATAGTACCATTTGCCTTTGACAGCATAAAAGAACTCATGAATAGAATCTCTTTCTTTGTAATTTTATTTTACAAGGTCCTGTGCAGTAAAGGACCCATTAGCAAATAAGAACAGGGGTCAACAGTGAAGGGTCAAGGTGTTCCATGCCAGGTAGTCCACAGTACCTGCTACAACTCTGTAGGTGTCACCTTTAACAGCTGGTTCAGAGTCTGCCGCTGACTTGGGGATTCCTCTTCCCTGCCCCATCTCAAACTCAAGATAACATCAACAGAGCAGGAGGTGGCTATAATAGAAAGGCTTTCTGTGGTTTGGTAATTAGTATCAATGGACTCCTGTGGTATCAAGCTTCATGAAAGAAAGTAACACCATGAAAGAAAACAGAGCCATGTTAATCATTTCTTGACAGACATTTCAAAAAAGGTTAAGAAACTCTCTCTTTTATCTGCCCCAGTTGTTCAGATGTGTCTTGAAAATATGTGCTGAGATCTTTAATGTCTTTGATCATACATAGTTTGCACTTACAAATGGACACTAAAAAAAGTTGAAGACAGACATAATTACTTATTCTATAGAATTGTGTATTCCAAATCATGTCCATCATGTAAGAGAAGTAAAATATCCATATTCAGTAGCCATTTTTCAGCACCAGCTCCCCTCCAGTTAGAAAAACAAATACTTATTTCAAATGCCTTTATGACTTAAGGCTTCAATAACAACTCATGAGTAGGCCAAGGTTTGCTATTATTTAATCTTGGAAGAACACAGAAAGAAAAAGGAAGGGAACATAGTGGACAGTGTGGAATGTAGGCAGAACTCCTTTACGTATCTGGCCACATGTGGCTTTAACAGATGAAGGGAAACTGACTGGGGCTAAGGTTACATATTTCTGTTCAATAAGGGTATCCATGGTGGTAGCTCTCATGGTGACGATAGTCGTCCTGGTAACCATCCTGGTATCCTTGGTGGTAACTATGGTAACCATAGCCTGCATACTCATCTTCTGGGCAGCGCATCCCCAGTGACTGCTGAATGGCCATTTCCTGTCTCCGGAGTTGCATTGAATCAATTAAATCGTACACGATCACCATGGACCACATTGGGGAAGGATACCAGGATTTTACATTTCCATCTTTTCCAACTAGAAGCATGGAGAAGTACTCAGGGCTCACTTGAAAATAGTTACGTATGTCTTTCACCAAATGGGCTGGTACATCTTCTCGTTCAACAACAGAACTCCCTAGAATAGAATTAGAAAAATTGTTAGTGGATTAAAGAGAAAACTCAGGGGGAAAAAAGTGAGAAGAAATCACAGTGAGAATGAAGACAGGACCCATGATCTATTCTCTTTAGCTCAAGATCCAATTAAAGAAGTTTGCTGGTTTTTTTCTACTAGAAATAAAATGTCCCTGCTGTGCATATGATGTCCTCTTTATAGGAATGTTAAACATATAAAACCAGTCCCTTAATTTAATCCTTGCAAGATCAATTTATTTAAGACTTATCATTAACAAAGATTATATTGTTTGCATTTCTAAGTTTATTTCCAATTAGCTTAGTTAGTTCTTTGCAATTACAGTTTTTCTTTTGATGCTGTTGTCTGTATTTTTTAAAAGCTTATTTTATTGTCAAAGGTGAAGAACACGAATCACATAAGCACTGGGTAAATGTATTTGAATTATTGTGAGTATTGACACTGTCCAGCATTGTGCCTGGATTTCATATACATTTTCTCATGTAAAGAGCCTGATCTTGGAAGGAAGGACTTGATATGCTTTCTGAAATCTTTAGTCACTAGTCATTCTTCCAGCTTCTTGGAGCCTTTTAGTACACTAGTATATCTTCCTCTGTTGAAAGGGAATCAATAAGATATAACCTATGGGCCTCACAGTGCCATCGTGAGAATTAAATGAAAAAACATAGATGAAAATGCTTTGTAAACAGTCAAATATTACTAGTTAATAAGGTAAATATTTTTACTATAATTTATGAGTAATTTTACATTGAAAACAATGTTAGTTTTTTCACTCCACTTCCCATTCCTCTACGTACATACTGTGTGGGCATGCACGCGCACACACAACACATACACACACACATCCTATGTGCAAAGGAGGTGGGGGATACCTTATAGTTACACCCACTGTTAGCATAAAATTCAGTATAATTTAATTATTATAAAATAATAACACTATACCATTAATCGGGAATAGTTCTAAGACTCCCCCAATTTCTTCTCCAATGCCTAAAAGCTTCAGAATGGTTATGTGGCGCAGACCTGAGAGGGGAAAAAAAGCCATAGAATTAGAGGAAAGGACTCTAAGTCATCTTTTAATTCCAAACACCAATGTCTAACCATTAAAACCTCTCTGTTTAAAAAGAATATAGAACATAACCTGATTAGGTAGAATAATCTATTTTTAAGTTATTCCACAAGAAAATACTTAAATACTTCTACAATTGTAGATTTTGGGGATCAACAGCATCAGATGTTGTTTGCTTTGAAGATGTGTTGTTTTTGTATATTAAAATAGAAGAATTTGTTCTAAAACTGTGATTCTGACTTTATTAAATGACAAAAGGAAAATAAAGTCATTGGAATATTAAAATATCTAAGATGATCTAAACTGATCAGTGTTCTGGGGGAAAAAAAGTCACATAAAATTACATAGATTGCTTTCAGAAAAAAGACTTGGAGACCTATTCATTGTGATTGTTAAAGAAATAATTCTGGTTTCCCCAAATAAAGTTTGTAGCTAAAAGGCAGGTTCTTATCACTCATTTTGAGGATTCACACTTAGGCAAGCACAGTTTGCTCCCTGCCCTCAGCTAAAGTTTCAGGAAGGAAAGGTCATGCCTTGGCAGCTCACTGGAATTCTTTTGAAGATGAAGCACACATGGAGGGGTTCAGGAGAAAGAAACAGGAGGGCAAAGAGGCTGACAATTCATTCTCTCAAGATCTTATGGCTTAGACAAGGTTCCAGCCTAGTCAGCATAATAATTTGGGACTAATAATATGAATACTGTTGGTCCGGAGGAGAAAATTGAAAGCAGCTTTGGGAAGTCTCTTTTAAGGAAGAGCTTAAAGCAAAATATTATTTTAAAAAAGTTTTTGTGGTCTTTACTCTTTTCAGAGAAGTAAAACATTCTGTTGTGTATGTTGTTGACTTGTGTTTCCCAAAAGGGAAGATCATGAATTTATTCATGAGTTGTTCACATTTCCTGTAATATTGTAAGCAAGAGTTTGCCTGCAATAATGTGCAGCAAAGATGTCTTTAGAAAATTAACAAGTCACGATTTTATTTATATTTTTATTGTGAATGGTCACTACTCTAAGAACTTCTGCTTACTAGCACCATTGGTAACTATAAATAATTTAAAATATGCTTAAGAATAGTGTCACAATCAAATCTTATATATGTTGATATAAAGTCTTGAATTTTAACTGTGATAAAAGAAGCATAAATAAAAACTGAAATGTATTTTATAATCTACAGTTTCTGGTACATAGCAAGGATCCAGGCTCTGTTGGTGCTTTATAAAACTCACCTCCCCCTTTGATAAATCTAGTACAGTTGTATAACAAATTATTTCCCTTCCTAGCAGAAGTATAAAAATGTTGATTCCAATAATAACTTTTTTTAAACAGTGGTCCCTGCTACTTCTCCACACTCGGGACTCTCAAAACTTCTTCCTCTGCAGAGGTATATCTTAAATGAGACTTCAGTTGGGAGTTCCACTTTTGGAATTGTCATTATCTCCATGATTCTATGTACTGTGCATTTTCCTTTTTAAAAACCTACATTCAAAATGATATTAGCTGTACCAGATCACTAGAATAATAATGTTTGGTAAGAACACACACACACACACACACACACACACACACACACACACACACTCTCTCTCTCTCTCTCTCTCTCTCATTTATTTTCAAAACACTGGGCAATTAACTTCAAAAAAAAAGTTCTCTATTACCTGCTTGTCTTAAAAATAAGGTTCTGTTTAACAGATCTCTTGGTGCCCTTTTAAAAGAATGGCAAATTAGCATAATGTGCTTCAATTAATACATTGATTTCCAACACCATTCCTGTTGTACAAAAAACATTTAATTTGTGAAGTGGCCAGAATTACCTAAGTAAATGATAAGTATCATAACTTAAGTAAACAATGATAGATATGGTCTTGAGACATATACATGACATAATACAGATCACTGACAGTAAAGCAGCAGGTATTTCCATGAAGAATTTGAGAGGGGAGAATATTGAGAGAAAAGAAAATAGATCCCAGTTGACTAAGGCTCCAGTCTAAAAGCAACTTTATACTCAATATAACTGAGCAAGTGTCTGGGAATCTACAGTCTGGACTGGGGAACATTTGAATGAGCTAAGCTTCTATGTTTCATTTTAGAGTTGAGCAGCAAGAGAGTGGTGTGGGAAGGCAGAGATGACGAGGCTTCCCACTCACCAAAATTGCATGCCTGACCACTGAGGGCCGAGAGCTGCTGTGAATAGGCCCAGTCTTCATCATTAGGAGCAGAGATCACCAGCAACCGCCTCCTCCATCGGAATCTGGAAAAGATGCAGAAGGCCACAATGACTGCTTCTAACAATAGAGGCAATAGTGTAAGGAAGCAGGGTAATATTGGCTGTTGTATTTTCCTATGCCCAGAACAAAAAGCACTGGTTCTCAGAAATGTCTCACAGTTCCTCAAAGCCATTCAACTGCACTTGCACACTTCTTGAACCTTTTCTGTTGTGACTTCACAGTCTGCCTTCTGTGGCATTTGCATGGTATGTCAGGCATGAGTCTGGCCACCATGCCTGATGAGGTCACTTAGGAAGAGACACAGCTCTCAGATGCAACAAGGACTAACCAAAATTGTATGTCCCATTGTAGCGAGAGAAATAAGAAATCTAATCTCACTTATTTGTGGAATCGAATGAACAAAATAAACTTACAAAATGATAGAACAGTGGCATGGGAACATGGAACAGACTGACGAATCTCAGAGGGAAGCAGGGAAGGGGAGCAGGAAGAGATTAATCAAAGAACTTACACTGCATATATACATTGCCCATGGACACAGAGAACAGGGTAATAAAGGATTGGGGTGGGGCAGGAACTGGGTAGAGGGGGGCAATAGGGGAAAAATTGGGACATCTCTAACACTTTCAAGAATATATATTTTTTAGAAAAGAATCAGAAAGGAACTGAGGAAAATTCAAGTTCAAGTAGAGTTCCCTAGGGCTTGGAGGGGGGTTAATTAAGAAATAATTACATGTACAGAAAATAGAATAGGAAAAGAGAACTGAATTTTAAGTAGGTGACAGGAAGAAGGAAATGGGAAAGTGGTTCAAAGGGTCAAGGAGGATTCCTGGCAAAACAAAGCTCTATTTACCTTCCTCAGTAGTTAATGGTTTCTCCAGAGGTAAGTACAAGTTCTAAAATGTACCATTAGTAAGAACTAACACTTATAAATTACTCCTATGCACTAAAATAGGACTAAACCTATAGCCATATGAATTTAGAATATATACTAGAGGTCTGGTGAATGAAAATTAGTGCCCTGGGGGGGGGGGGCGGGCAGAAGGGAGGTCCCCCTCAGACTAGCCTGTGCCCTTTTGCAGTCCAGGGCTCCTTAGGGGATGTCAACTGATGGCTTAGGCCTATTCCCTGGGGGGTGGGGTCTAAGCTGGGATGTCTGACTGCCAGCTTAGACCCCAGCCCCCAGGGAATAGGCCTAAGCCATCAGTTGACATCCCCGGGGAGCCCTCAGGGGATGTCCAACTAACTGCTTAGGCCCGCTCACCATGGGGAACGGGCTTAAGCCATTAGTCGGACATCCTTTGCGCTGCCACAGAAACCGGAGAAGCTCCCACCACCTCCGCTGCACTGGCCAGCCATGAGCCAACTTCTGACTGAGCAGTGCTCCCCCTGTGGAAACGCACTGACCACCAGGGGGCAGCTCCTCTGTTGAGCATCTGCCTCTTGGTGGTCAGTGCGTGTTATAGTGACCAGAGCTCAGGAATGTAAGTTACCCATGTGATGATATGGATATAGACAGTGTCTTCACCTGCTGGCTCCTAGATGTCGAAGTGTGTCCATTAACAGGCCTTGGACATTGTCTATCACACTGCCCATAAGATAACTGATCTAACACTTGTGTTTGTATCATTTTACAGCTCACTTGCCTCTATAGCAAATGTGTTCCTCATTAGAGCTCAGTGAGCCCACAAAGTATTGTCTCCATTTTACAGGTGACAAGATGAAGCTTAGAGAAGTGAAGTAATTTGCCTACCTAGAAAATCTAAGAGGTGGTAGCAAAATACAGATTTCTCTGGCTCCCAGGCCTTGGTATCCCTCATCTACCACCCTCAGTGATCCTGCTGCTTAGCTGGTGTTGCCAGGGTTCCTGAGAGGGTAGGCGGGAGAGAGCGTGAGCAGAGCATATGCAGCCAAGGGGCAGCAGTATGGTGTTGTCTCAAATTCCGCCTTCACCGGAGAAGGGGTTTTGCTTTCTGCCTCCAGTGCAGGCAACTGTGGGCTGTCAGTGTACTCCCTGAGCTGGAAGCCAGGTTATTTTATTCATCGCTTCTCTCCCTGTGCCCCTTCTAGCCTCAGAGTGAACATGAGAATTTTCAACCCAAAGAAAATGGCCTCTTGGGGGAATAGTGGTTTGGGTGAATGAGAGAAAATGATAGTCTGATGAAACACAACCTCTGAATAGATGCCTGGAGCAAGACTCGCCAAGAATTGCTTGCTGTGACATTGCATTCGCTTCCTCTGCTTGTTTTTCTTCAAAGGGAAAGAAAAACTAAAATCTCCACTGAGGATAGGGAGATGAATATGTTTGGCATGGAGGAGCGGAGAGGAGCATCTGAGACAGTCCGACGTTTCCTGGAAAAGGGACCAGTGACTGCTGTCGGATCACAAACATGGTCTCCTGAACTTTCCCTGCTTCCTTAGGAGACACGCCAGGTCAGCGCTGGCCCCCCAGGCAGCATCCACACCAGGCCAGCCTCCCTGGCCTCACACAGGGCCTAAGGTATCCTGCAGGGAGCTATTTTGGGTGAGGTATATTTTGACTTGTTTACCTGTGTGCACTGCTGCAGGCTGTCCTGATTGCAGAGGGATGGGGTCTGAGACTCCGTGCCCAAGACGCACCAAGAGAAGGTCATTTCCCCTAAGGGATGGTTTTTCTTCTCCCACAGCCCTTCACAGGAAAATAAAAGCCCCTACCTCTCGACACTGAAGGAAATAACACCCATAGGATGTAACAAAAGATTGTGTGTGTGTGTGTGTGTGTGTGATCCAGATCCTTATTCTGGACAACTTGTTTTTCTGTCACTTTAGCGTCTCAGTAAATAAAAATTATATGAGCTATGGATGTGTTTGCTTCTCTTAACCAAAATTAGTGTGCATTCGCCCACTCTTTGGGGCTTCTGTGTCAGAGAAAGGTAATTATAGACTGAACCAAATGAGTGTCGCTAAAGGTTAGACTGGCTTAGAGTCTGGTCAGCTGAAACCAGACTTTATAGACCCACCAACAACTCAGCAAATCTGAAGGAAAATTCCCATTTGGATACTGATTTATTTATGAAACTTTTAGTTTAAAAAAAAATTTTTTTTTTCAGTTCTCTTTGCCTGGGTTTTAATCCTGAGGTATTTGCTAAATCTTCTTTTCTCATCTCTCCTCACCTCTCTCTTAATGACAAAATTCTCTAACTAGGAGCTATCTAACTGGCCCTAATACTACTAATAATTTGCATTTATTGATAGTTCACTTTGTACTATATTCTGGGCAATAATTACCTTTAGTATTGAATTTACCTTTTATAACAATCTGAAGAATAGATACACTTATTACCCCCATTTTTAAGTGAGAAAACGAAATACAAGAAGTTAAATAATCAGTCCAAGATCACACAACTAATAAGTGGAGAAAGCAGAAATTAAACTCTGGTCTGTCTTTCTCATGCTTTTAAGTAATATACTATTGAACTTTAATTTTTAAGACCCATTATAATGATCAGCATAGTGATTTCTAAGTTGTGACCACAGTCATGTATACCCATAGAATATCTAAATCATGATCATATACCATTCTGAATATGCATAAGAAATATACGTTTCTGAAATTAAAAATACCCTATATAATAAAGAGGTAATGTGCAAATTAACCCTCATGCCCTACAAGATGGCTGCCTAACGACCAGACTGGCATAGGGGTTAGTGAGGGACGACCAAATAACTGAACAAACAGGCTGTGTGGGACAACGAGGCCAACGGGGCTGTGAAGGGCAACCACACCAGCAGGGTGTCAGTTGGGGGCAATCAGGCCAGCAGCAGGGGTCAATAAGAGGTGACCAGGCCAGCAGGGGGGGGCAGTTAAGGGCTATCAGGTTGGTGTGTGTGTGGGGGGGTGCAGTTGGCACCAACAAGGCTGACAGGGGCAGGCAGTTGGGGGCAATTAGGGTGGCAGGGGGGGCATTGAGGGGTGACTAGACTGGTGGGGGTTAGTTGGGGGTGATCAGGCTGGGGGGAGGGGGCAGTTCAGGACAACCAGGCAGGCGGGCAGGTGAGCAATTAGGAGCCAGTGGTCCAGGATTGTGAGAGGGATGGACATCCCCCTAAAGGGTCCTGGATTAGAGAAGGTGCAGGCTGGGCTGAGGGGACCCTTCTCTCCCCCCACCCTCCTGCCCCCGTGCACAAATTTTGTGCACTGGGCCTCTAATAATTACATATTATAGGGCTCCATTCAGTTCAAAAGACTTTAGATGCAAAATGTGTGTACACGTCTTAAGAATCAAAAAGATTAGACTAATTCAAATCAGTGTCCAATGTGAATAAGCTTTGCAAGATTGTGAGTGAAAAAATTGAGCTAATGTCAGATTTCCTTTTCAGGTTTTATAATCACGTAGTGATTATAAACAGACATTCTGCCTTGGGATTATAAGAAGAAGACCTCATGATATCTGCGGCTGAGAGTTTCACAGCTGGCTCAAATCCTTGGTTATAAATAACATCAGTGGTAACTGTCTGTTTTAGAGGTTGGGCAACCTGAGTTTACTGGGATGGTTCAGAAAGTATGCATCTTTTTGTCCTGATTTAGATTTAAAAAGAGAATGTTTTCAAAGAGTCAAAGTCATCATAATAATGTATATTTCTATAAGAAGATACTAGTTTTCTTTATATAATTTATGTTCTTATGAAACTTAAGATACTTTGACTTAATAAAATGACTTCCTTAAAATTCAAAAGTAGAATGTGTAATTGAGTAGTAAGTGTAAATGTCTGGTTTTAAGTGGAAATCTCACTACGTGTACACAGTTATTGGACCATATGAGAGAACTTTAGATTCACTGTGTTTGCAAGATTAAATTACTAAACTTATGGGTCATTTAAATTCTCAGAAATTCTTTGTTTATTTCAAGCAATTAAAATAAATATATTAACTGTGAAATGTCTGAAATAATGTTGTTCAATAGTTGAGTTTTTAGCAAGAGCAAACATTATCAAAGCCTTTTAAAACTATAGGTAAAATTTCCTAAGTTATAAATAGAACTAGAGGCCCAGTGCACAAAATTCATGAACAGGTAGTGTCCTAGGCCTGGCCAGCAATCAGGGCCAATTGGGGCCTTCTGGCTGCTGGCAGGGCCTTCCTTCATTCCACGCTATGCCCTGGTGGTGAGCACACATCATAGTGAATGATCAAACTCCGGGTCTCCTGGTCAAACACCCGAGGGGACAATTTGCATATTAAGCTTATATACATATAGATTTTAAGACTTAAAAGTCAAATTTAAATGTTTAAGTGAAAACTAAAATCAAAAGCAAACTTTTAAAGAATCTTTTCTGCAAGGAAGAAAGGAAGGGGGAAATGTAAAGAAAAGGAAAATATACTTTTTAAAAATCTCTCTGCAAACAACCATATGCTCTTCTTCTTTTTCTTCTTCTTCTAAGTCATTGCCATCTACAGGGATGACCTGGGATCAGAAGTTGATGTTTCAGTGGCTCCAGGACTGAACAAGAAGCCATTTGCCTGTGGAGTCCTAGCACCCTTTCTCAGCCAAGAGAGTGGCATGAAAGCTGAACTGAGAGGTCCTGTGGAGACATGCACTTGCCATCTCCATTCTAGGTACTTGCATTGCACCGAAAATTTGGGTGAAGAACCTCAGATTCATTTTAGCTCTGAAATTCTGTGGTTTTAGGATGATCTTCTTTCATTTCAAACTTTGGGCCTCTGTGTTCAAGACTAAAAACCATTCATTTCATATTTTCAAAAGGAGTATTAGATAAGAATGTGGACTTTGGTAGCCAGGTTATCCTGGGGCCACAGAGTCCTAGTGCTGACACTAGCTGAGTGATGAAAGTTACTTAATCGCCATGATGTTTAATCTGCTACATGACAATAGTTATAGTATTTGCATCACTGGATCATTGTGAAGACTAACCCACTAAAGAAGGTGAAGTGCTTGACACAGAGGTGAGCATACAGCAAGTCATCACAGCAACCGTGGTAGCGGTGTAGGACTACTTACTCTCCTTATTCTCACTTGTCCCTGAGAGATTTTTAATTAAGAAACATAGGGGCAAAATAGCGAGTAAATTGCAGACCCAAAACTTAGATGGATGATAGGTCCGTCCTACGCTCCTTACACATCATGAGGTTATTGCCTAAGAGACCCACGCTGCCTGAATCTAGAAGAAATCAGATTATCATTTACACATCATAGAATTCTTGATTCTCTGACTCGCTTATGGAGAATGTGCTTTATAGTTACAAGTAAGGAAGTTCTGCCTGGAGTGATACAGTTAACACCGAGCTGCCAAGCAAAGGCTCGCTCCATTTCAGGAGCCTCTCAGCCACCCAATTCAGTTTGGATAAGTCTACTTGTTGTAGGTGGAATCAGTAGTTTTGAACCTGCTAGGGCCCCAAAGGCCCTATAGAATTTTTATTCAATATGCAAGAAAGGAAGGAATGACATGAAGATATATATATATATATATATATATATATATATATATATATATATATATATATATTTTTTTTTTTTTTTTTTTTTTTTTACATTCTCTTCTGTGTGCAAGGAAAAGAGCTTCTCTACAAGGATTTGCAATAAACCACTCTCCCCGGGGAACCAGGGAGCTGGGTCAAGAGAATTGCTCTTTCTGAGGTCCTGGTAGGGCTTTTGTTTTCTAGGCAGAGTTGGAAGGAAGCAGAAAATCAAGCACAGTGTTCCCAATCCTGTTTGAAACTAGAAGGGGCCTAATAAATAAGTAAGAAAATAAATAAAATAAAATAGTTGGATACAAAGTCCTCCAAATTCACTGACTGAATAAGGTAACTCTCACAGGGCAGAATTCTGTATTTTGTGCCCAAAAAAGGAGCAGAAAAGATGTATCCAAAGCCATTAAATTGGCATTCAAGCTTGCAGCTGCCCCTAGCCAGCCTTGTGACCAGAGCCACTTCCGACAAGACAAAGATGAAGCCCAGGGGCCAGAGGGCTGAGAAGCAGACAGATCTTTTGCCAGGAAAGTTCGCTCTCTGCACATGTCTGCTCTGTGCTTCCTGGGCGTTTTCATTAGCTCACTAACAACACATTCCCGCCTGCCTCCTCGGAAACTCCAAAGGGGATATACCTGGATAGGAAGTTCTCCAGTGACTGCTTCTTGTCTTCCTTGCAAACAATGCCTTCCTTCTTCTGTTTCTCCATGTCTTTGATTCGGGACTGGAAAGTATCGATCAGATCAAACACAGACTTCATTGCTATAGGCACCTCGTAGTATTGCTGTTTAAGAAAGAATAGAAAGTATATAATGTATAAGCGTGTTTCTTCCTTCTGCTCAGAAAACAGGGAGCACAGGAGAAATCGAGGGAGCTCTGAAAAAAAAAATCAGAGCCTAGAGGGCTCAGTGGCTTAGAAACTCTCTCCTGTCATTTTAATTCTGCTAATGTTGTGAACTTCCGAATCCATGAGACAACTGCCATTTACCTTTTATGAGGATTGCTTCTCAACTGCATTCCTTTTATTGGATAGGGTCCATGCCTCCTTCACCACACATATCCTACGTTCACTTCCCTACCTCTGGGACTAAACTGGTTCCTGTTCACTACACGATTGGCGGGGAAATGAGAAATGCTTTATCTAACACAGGGATGGAATAATGTGTTAAAATGTTCCACCTGAGCAATAAGGGTAATTGTCTACCAGAAGTGGACTTGTTACTTGGCCATTAGGAATCTGCAAAAACTCTTTATGATTCCCAGAGATTATTTTATTGAGTGACCATCACTTAAAATTAGGTCGCTTCCTTAAGTATTCTCAGAAAAGAATTGGGATACAATTCAAGGATAATGAAATTAAATTTGCTGGATCATTCTTGTCTGGACTTACAACAGCAACCCAAGATAGATTTGGGGGCTGGCTGAACATAAACAGCATACATCAAGGACATGGCCTGGAGCTACATAGGCTCCCAGTGGGAAATTAAGTCGACCAGAGGATGTTAAAGCTGGCAGAAACCTTAAGGATTATCTAAGATTAGAGGCCAGCTGCACAAGTACAAGAAGAATTAATCCAGAAAGATACTGCAGGTTGAATCAGCTATTCGGATAGCCCAGGCAGACTTTTTCCTGGTGATTTTTACATAAGCATGATATACTTATGTACACACATATGGCTAAGACAGTGGACTCTGGAGCAAGTCTGTATGGCTATGAAGTCCAATGCTAACTGGGTGACTTGTGCGATACTTAACTAACCTGGACCTCTGTTTATTCCTCTGCGAAACAAAAGTAACTTTTGTTATTTATTTTAGATATTGAGATAAAGGTCATCGAGAGTTAAGCTGAGTGCCTGGCATAAGGAAAGCACTCAATAAAGTTATCTATTTTTGTTATTTTTTAAAAATGATTCTTCATAGTTCAGAACCTTTGTCCCCAAGCATATAAACAAAGTAGGTATAAAACCTTACTGTCTTGTCCATATTTGATCAGGAATTAAACTTGTAGGCCCTTCCAAAGTAGGCCTATGTCAAATCTGATTGTCTTGAAAGCAGAGGCCAAATACTCTTTATCTTTTATCTCCAGGGCCTGGCACACCATAGCTATTCAACAACTATCTAACGAATGCAAGGCAGAAGAATTTAGTCTGAGTCAAATAAGTGGGGCATAAGAGGTCATCGAACCCAGTCTTTTTCAGAGACCATATTTCTAAACACAAATTCTAAAGACCAACATGGAATATTTGGACCATTTCAAAATTTTCCCATTTATAAATTAAGTTGTGTTCACTCATATCTAATAGATTCAGTGACAAAAAATTTCAGAGTTGCTGTTGTAAGGAATGGCACCACATTATCTAAATCAGGAACCCATACCTTGACTCTGAGGTCCACGTCTGTTAGCACCATGAAGAAGTCATCATAGGTCATTCCATACTCTCTCCTCAGCTCGCTGATGAGATGCTGATCTACCAAGTCCTCATCATCTACGACTTGCATGGGTTTCTCATTATCTTAAAGCAAATGAAATGTGAATTAATATGGTGTGACAAGATAGAAATCAAAAGAAACAAATGGGTAGAAGCTCTGGGCCTCTAGAGCTGTTAATTAGAACAACTTTCATTAGTTGCACATATTCAACTAACATTTGGTTTAAATAAAAGTTTACAAAGTGAATAAATAAATACAGAAATGACTAAATAAGTAAACTCATTTTGAAAATCGCTCTTCTAAAGATGACCAAGCTCCATCTCTGCCCATCTTGGTTAAAGTAAATCATTAGGAGCAAAATGAGAGACTGATGAATCATCCCTGTAAGAAGACTGCCACCTCACCCAGTATGAGTCATCACCCTAATTCACCAGGGAAGTAGGCAAGGTACTTTTACTTAATTTTAAAATTTATTTTAGTTTTAGCTATTTACTTAAGTCTAAAATCTTGGTCTGTTCCTCCCTTTTACTCTACAATCACTTTGGGAATCAGTGAACTATGTCATTGCTATAAAGCAGTGGTCAGCAAACTCATTAATAAACAGAGCCAAATATCAACATTACAACAATTAAAATTTCTTTTGAGAGCCAAATTTTTAAATTTAAACTTTTTCTAACACCACTTCTTCAAAATAGATTCACCCAGGCCATGGTATTTTGTGGAAGAGCCACACTCAAGGGGCCAAAGAGCCACATGTGACTCAAGAGCCATAGTTTGCCGATCACTGCTATAGAGACAAAGAAAACGTCTATGTTCAATCCTAGTATCAAGTTCACCTGGCACTTGAAATAAGTCAAACTATTCATAATCCAAAATTTTCAAGTCAATATAATTTTAAGAACAGTGTTACTGAACTTATGGAAGTTTTAAACCATTATCTATTTGTTTTCAAATATTAAGTCTTAAAAATAAATTATTATAACTCAGAATGGTTCCTAAAGGTGCCACTGGGTTAATAAGAGATATGAAAATGGCAACTGCTATGTCTGGAAAGCATTTTGGAAGTTTTAGGACAGCTTTATTTATTCAGTCTCTCTCATACAAGTCACAGTGTTTCCTTCAACTCTACTAGACTTTTTATCTCCAAAATAATCCCCTGTATTTTTTAATGTAAAAATTTAAACTTAACAAATATGTGATTAATAGATATATTAGTGAAGAGAATCTATCAGTTATTATTAACATTGCTAACCCAATGAATTGTAGTGCAGTAGAAACAACCACCATTTTGCAGATACTGAAGTTATATAGCTTGAGTACCATTGACCATCACTCTTTTTAAAAAAAATATATTTTATTGATTTTGTACAGCGAGGAAGGAAGAGAGATAGAGAGTTAGAAACATCGATGAGAGAGAGTAATGGATCAGCTGCCTCTTGCACACCCCCTACTGGGGATATGCCCGCAACCAAGGTACATGCCCTTGACCAGAACCGAACCCGGGACCCTTTAGTCCCCAAGCCGACGCTCTATCCATTGAGCCAAACCAGTTTCGGCTGACTATCACTCTTGTATTTATTTTTTTAAAGGAACAATTATAATTTAACTATCACTTTTGTTTATTTGATTAGTTTTGTTGAAAGCATATAAACAAGAAACTTAATTTCTTCCAAGTAGATCAAAATGAGAAAGGAAATAATTTGTTTTCCTTCCCAAATCAAAACAGTTCTTCATGGAGGTGGTCCAAAGTCATGAAACCTACATGAAGACCAAACGCTGTCCACAAAATGAAAAATAATATATCTCATACATACAAGCTATTTTTATTTTTTAAAAATATATTTTATTGATTTTTTACAGAGAGGAAGAGAGAGGATAGAGAGTTAGAAACATAGATGAGAGAGAATCATTGATCAGCTGCCTCTTGCACACCTCCTACTGGGGATGTGCCTGCAACCAAGGTACATGCCCTTGACAGGAATCGAACCCGGGACCTTTCAGTCCGCAGATCGATGCTCTATCCAGAAACAAACTGGTTTTGGCCAAACTATTTTTAGATGCACATTTTGCTCTCATTGATAAAACATAAATCAATTAAAAAGAACTGCTAGATCTGTGTTATTGTTTTTTATTTATTATATCTCATTGACTAAAAAATCCTAGTTGCAGGATAAAATGTATAGTATGACTTTATTTTTCATTAAAAGGAAATAAGACAAAAGATAATACATCCACATGTGAATATGCACAGGAAAAGTTCCAGCAGGACATACAGCTGTTAACAATGGTTGTGAGGAGAAGCAGAATTTGTCACTCCAGAATATGCCTTTTTTGAGGATAGTGACTATTTTAATCTGGTTATTTTTAAGAAACAACACTCAGGAAGAGAAGCTTTTACCTTCTCCCTGAAGAATTTAGACAGAGGGCCTGCTCAGGAAGGGAGATATCATCATAGATAAATGTAGTTTAATATAAACTCGGTGTGATGGAAATGAAGGAACTTAGTTAGGCCTCTTTGATCAAAGTCTTTTATGGATCTCATTGTTAAAGTTGGCCCAACAAAAGTTTATTTGTCAAAAGTTTGCTTTACCATCTACATGTAAACTGCCTTCCTGCACTTTGAAGTCTCAAACAACTCCTACTCAATTTGTCCCTGGCTCCTATATTCATAAGGAACCCTGTATGTATAATACATAAGTAATAAGTTTGGTCATTTTATCCTGTTAATCAGTCTCTAGTTACTTTAATTATCAGGACTTAGAAGGATAAAAGAAAAATTATTTTTCTGCTCCTACAGTTGCCTCTGGAGAGTGGGGAGAGGTAGGGTAGAAACTTTCATTTTTTACTGTATGCATGTCTATAATTATTTATATTTTAACATGAAACATATTTTACTTTGTGATTAGAAATAATAACGAGAAAAAGATCATTTAATAACTGATTTTCAAAATGCCCTTAACAATTTCTTTTCTGATTCTAAGATTTTACAAACCAGATTTTTATCTCGAACTTAGGAATTGCTACTTTTAGTTCCCAACACACATTCTTTTTTGTTTTTGTTCATTAAACAAAATATTTGTCTCTAGTGTCAGGAACTGATTCTGCTTTGGGTGCTAGATTTAGAAATAAGTATACTTCAACAGAGTTCAAGTTCCTAATCAGAATAAAAAGTAGACTATTAGCATTTACCTAACAGATAAAATCAAAAAACCATTGAGCGGTTGAGACAGAAGAAGTTGGAGATTATAGCAGATTTTTAAAATGGCCCCATTTCTCCACCCCACCCTGAACCCACTACACTCTGCCCAGTAACTGCGGCTCCCTGTTATGATGAATGGGCTGAACTCTCCTGCCTTTTTATTTTGTTTTACTTTGTTAGCACAAGTAACACAAATAGAAGCTAGAAGTGAGTTTGCACATTTGGAATTGCTCTTGCCTAGACCATTACCATGATTACATATCCACACCAGACAACTAGAGAATAAGTCAAGTCATGTTACTCTGGTCTTATCCTCGCCAGTGCTATCCAAGATCAGCTGGCACCCAGTTGACACCTAGCCTTTATGCAAGCCCAGCCAAGATCAGCAGAACCACCTAACCAACCTGCAGCTGACTGAAGATACATGAGCAAGCCTAGCCAAGCCATGCCCATATCAGTTAAACCCTACAAACTTGTAACTAAGTGAATATCTAATGGTATATGCCAGTGAGGTGTGTTGGTCTTTATTACATAGCCTTATTGTGTCACTAGATAACTGTTATGGACATTTTCAACTCAGTCACATTATTGAGGTTGAAACTAAAGAACAGTATGTAGTGCATGCTGTAGTGTGCAGTCCAGATCCTACTTTCAGACTAAGTCTGCTGTGAATGTGAATAGCTGAGTCCTTCTAAAAAGTGTTTGTCATAAAAAATAGCTGCCTTGCTCTAAATTACACCCATACTAGGGGATAGCCATATTCAATGGTTGATGCAGTGTGTGTGTGTGTGTGTGTGTGTGTGGAGGGGGGAGGGGACAGGGAGAGAGCTGTAGATATAAAGCTGTTCTCTTTACCTTAAAGTGAGCAACTCTGATGGGCCAACCTCATTACAATTCAAAGTCTCCCTTTGTCATCTAGTGTCCCTCATCCCTCAATGGTGTGGTTCTTTGGGATATTCCTCATTAACTTCCTGCATGCAAATCTCAAAGTCTCCATCTGTTTCTCAGGGAACCAACCAACTTGTCACAGACCCCAGGGAGGGAGCAACTTGCTCAAATTCTCAAAGCTAGTCAATAACGAAGTGAGGGTTAGGACTCAAATAAAATGACCTCATTTCCTTTCCAGTGCTCTTCCTGCTTTACCAAAATATGTCACACTTGGTCTTGGAAGGGACCAAGATTTAAATCAAACTTTGTTCTACTAGGATGTGGGAAGAAACTAATCTCATGGTCTGGTTTTTCCTTTCAACTAAAATATTTTCTGAAGTGTTTTGACTGAACATGAGAAATAAGCCATTCTGGTCTTCCAGACTACAGAAATATCTACATCCCAAATGAATGTTAGAATTGAGCAGGAGAGTCTTCCAACAAAAAGCAATAAAAGCACTGATTGACACTGTATCCAACTAGGGTGGTGGCAATTCTGTGGCAAGACAGAGTACACTTCTGGCTGAATTCTGAGTAAGGTACATGTGAGGCCAGCTCCTGTCTTCAGCTGCCTGCTCTCTGCTACGGTCTGCATTCCATCTCAATCAGGGCTGGGTCAGCAAGAGGTTCTCTGGGAAAGCAACATAATTTTGGCAGCTTCTTGTTTTGCCAGAGCTTTGTAGTCCTTGTCAAGGGTTGCATGGCTTAGAAGCAAATGTTTGGTCGGGAAGCATCCCATAAACTGTCCATCTGCTTCTGATCCAGTTGAAATGATTCACAGATTCAAGCCCATTTGGTGGAATTTGGTCATTCCACATGGCCTGCCTCAGACTTCAGAGTACTGAGGAGGGGCAGGGGAAGGGTGAATTCTGCTGTGTCCTGGTAAGGACTGGCCCTGCATGTGGGACATTTGTCTGGTTTCTCATGTTTTAATAATTCCAACTCCAAAAGTCTGGG